TTATTTTCTTTGTTCCAATTTTTATTTTCAGTAGTTCTTATTTCCTTAAATCTAAATTTTGATTGTCCAAATAATTAGGGAAGACTGTGATTCTAATACTTATTTTGTTAAATCCCCGTGAGAACGATATTATTATACTACTTGATAACTAGTGCACTTGCTAGAGTTATATATTTATAGCTATCAGCCATCACAGAGTTTCTATCTTATTTTGTAATTACCAAGTTAGCATTATAGCGATGTTTCATATTTATATTCAATTACGACTTTCTTTTTGAAGAGTTTTAGTAGGATTCTATTATATAGTGTTTTCTTAGATTATGATTACTCAATTAAGATTTTCTTTTTGAAGAGTTTTAATAGGATTATATTATAAAGTGTTTTCATAAATTAGAAAACTTTCTTGTAGGAGTCATAAGGGTATATACTTATATAAAGAGTAGTTAGGGGAAGGTTAAGACGATTTTTGATATTGGATTTTTTTTTAATTATTCAGTGAAGAATTCTTCTTTTTGGTAGTTCTATTTCAGAACTTTTATTTGAAGCTTTTTTCAACGTGTTTCGTTTCCGTACAACGCCAGAATGGGTGTTAATACCTTGAATATAGTAAGTAGTTAGTGAAAAGTATCAATTCAAATTACGTTTGTGAGCGACACAATAGAGGGACGGGCCAAATTCAGAAACAAACTAGGGTATTTTAGTCAAGAAAAGTCCCGAAATTGGAGGCATATTTCCACTTTTTTAGTAGTATAGGTATAGATAATCACAATAATTTCAAGAAAGCTCTCTCTTGGTTATAGATTGTTTCTATGTATAGATAATATCACCTTTTATTTGTAAAGTTGAAAATTGAATCCCCATCCCCTCATAATTTCTGGTGATAATCACAATAATTGGAAACTCTTATTATGGATGAAAAGGAACAAAAGGTTACATATGACAAGAATGAGAGTAAGAGATTTTGAAATGATGGATTAGCTTTTCAGCATATAGAGTACTTGCACATGCATTCTGTGCAGGCATTTGCATCCGCAGGTGGGTACAAACAAAATGCTTCCTTAACGAATCCAGTGCTAGGGTTATTCATAGCGCATGTCGTAGCACAGTTATGATAGGAATTGCCGAATGTCCGTGTGCACCCTTGGTCGATTTGCAACCTAATGGCATCAACTGCAAGAACATGCACACAATTAAGTAAATAATGTATCAATGCCAATCAATGTTAGATCAAGTATATCATCTCTCAAAATAAAGTATAAAAAGCAATAATGAGGCAGATAGGGAGTTTTTAAATTCTAAAAGTTTCTGTTCGTTTTTTGGTAAGTTATTTATTTGGGTAAATGTAGTTACTTGGGTAAGTTTTTCCTAGGAAATGCTTACCCAGGTAATTGCATTTACCCATGTTCTTTTATTTCTCATGTAAATAAGGCAATGACTATTTTAACTATAAAAATCCATTATTAAAAGGGGCATTTTGTCCCATTCAAGTGTTGGCAACTTTTCCCCTAGGTGGGAAAGTTATTTACCCATTAGGAGATGGGTATCACTTATCCAAGTAAGTGTACCCAAGAAAATTAACTTTCCTTGATCCCCACATAAATCTGAAAAAAGAATATGAGGTTCTTGGTCAATGGGAACCAAAATTCCACTGACCATCTTTCCCCCCTCTCAAAATCCGAAAAAAAGCTCCCTAAGAAAGTTATATGCAACAAATGGTAAATTGTATAGAGGAATCGCTTGAAATTGCATATGAAATAATGAAGAAAAAGAGGAATCGCTTGAAATTGTTCTAAGACAGACCTGAGAAGAGAACTAGGAGAAGGAGACCGCAAATTGTATAGAACTTGCCCATCTCGAAAAGTGAATAAACTCTCCAAACCCTTGAACTTCAACTCCCACTGCTGTTTGGAAGAATATTACGCCTTTTGCTTTCCATGCATGGGTTTTATAATGCAGTGAAGGATATAAGTACAGTGCATAAGCAGAACCTATATTTATGAGATTACTCTGGGTAGCATCAGAAGTTACACACTTTATCTACTATTTATGCTGGATTCTTATTTATTATATAAGGCCCTGTTTGGATCGGGAGAATAGGGGTTTTAAATCGAAATCGGAATGGGTTATTTCAATTTCAATTGTTTGGTTAGGGAGAATCAGAATCTCATTTTCATTCTGATTAGATTGATATTTTCCCATTTAAGGAAATGGTCATTCTCTGCCTCGGGAATGAAATCCAATTCCTGCTTATTACAATTCTCATTCCCATTTTTGTCTGAGCCAAATACATTATAAAAATAGATCAGTCCGATTCTAATTCTGATTGCAAACCGAAGAGACCCTAAATGTAACGGATGAAAATCCTTGTTCACCCACGCAGGCTCTAAAATGTAACGGCAGATTTCCTTATAAATGACACCCGCCATGAGTGGATGATATACATGCATCTTTGCACACAACTCATATCCGAATCTGACAACATTGATTATAGGAGATTATGAAGAGATTTCTTTGCAAAATCAAACTTCAGTTAATAAGATGTCTCATTGTCTGCATTGGAGACTTGAATCAAATCCCTCTGTCACCAAGGTGGGTTTGATTACAGCCGTTGTATAAAGCTGTCAATGGCTCAGGTTTTTTTTTGATAGAAAGCAAAAGGTGCTACACAACACGGGGTAGCACGCCCCCACAAAGTTACTAC